GGACAAGAGAAGCACCAGCTTGTAAGCTATTCCCATAATAAAACTTTGACTTTGACTAAAGTAAACCCATTACTTGGGAAAAGTTATCCGTAGTCCAACAGTTCTTTTTAATAACTAATTTTCTAATCGGTACAAATCAGATGTCAGCTTAGTATATTTTTGGGCTGGATGTCATTTGATCAAAGATTATGTGTCTGCGGAGTTGGACGAGTGGCACCGTGAGCACTGAACCGATCAAAGCTCGTCAACAGTATAGGATATTGTTCGTTTAGTCAGTTTGCTGTCATGATGGCTGCGATGCGCGCATAGACCCATCATCTCTGCAATGGCCGCTGCGTGAAGTCGTAGGGTCCTAGAAGTGTGCGAGGGTACATGTTGGATAATCAGAAGGAACGATTCTGCCCTAACTCAATCCCCGACGATGCCACCAGTTCCTATTTGGTATTACTAACAGGGTCATACTTCTCAATTCTATACGTTGTGTTAGAGAGGCAGCGTAATTAGCACACACACGAGTGTTTTCATTAGAAGTCTTATTGGGCGATGAACTGGTGAAAGTTTTATAACAATCCCCGCCAATCGCCTAAGGACAAAACCTGATAGATCCCCACTTTCACACTAGAATTTTTCACCCAGTGATTCTTGAGTGGGCTCTGATCTTGACGACTCCCGTAGATTCTTATAAGTAGGTCGTCCACGTACCCACTTTCTTCAATATCGTTTTTGATTTGGCCTGTTGATACTCAATAAAACGTTACTAATAGTGATTGCCTGGTACGTCTTTTCCCCTCACTCAGGAATTGGATGACGACGACTATGAATTCGAACTTCCGCGTTGAAATAAACCTTCGGGGGATCGAGCGATTTTCAACACAACCAACATGAACATGGATACTTGAGAAACACGGAACAAGTCCATCCAAACTGCTGCCCATCCAACCTGTGATCACTCATCAAATGCATTTATTCTCCATCACTGTGTTCTGATCATTACAGACTATGCTGTCTGGGGTTGAGAACTCTTCCATATTTTGAAAAATGCAGTATATTTCACGTAAAAAGTTTCAAATCAGATAATGGAATGCGAAAATCGTGTGCCAATGTCTATCTAACTCTATCGACAGATTGAAAGGAACGTTAGGAAATCAACCCAGGGCCACATAGTGTAACATCCTGTTTAAAGCCCCGCTAATATATCTTTCACAGCAAGGAATATGGCATTTGCATCGATACGATATTTGTGCATTAGTTCCTCGGATGTACCCGAACGAGGTACTTCATGCACCGCCAGCCGGTGCACGATGTGCTTCACCCCCGCAAGGGCCAAGGCACCGTCGACAGCATCACCGATACCACCTGTGGATGAAGAATTCAAAGTGCAATTATTCTGATTGATTAAAGCAATAGATACTACACACTTACAAAGAGCGTCATAAGTAGAGGACCTTCTTGTCTCATCCTTTCAAATATCGCCTTCTGTTTCCTTTCGGGACGATATTCGTTCAGAACGACTGAATGCATTGAACGAATTTTAGAGAGAAATCATATACTACGCACTACTTCGACCAGGAAAGGTGTTAAAATGGGGTGACGAAAGTGTTGGATCCTCTTGTCAATTGGGGTTCTAGTTAATACTTAAAATGAAATCCAATGGTCGTTCTGTTCGAATGCCTCCATATTCTCGGCGTACTTCTTGCAAGACTTATTATCTTCCCATAATCAGAGTTCGTCTATTCTCTCTCAAGGCCGAATGTTAATCTACTTTGTCCAATAAGCCTTGGGGTACTTACACGCCTAGGAAGCAAGTATGCTGCAAGATTTCTAAATTGGATTTGGAATTTCGTCAATGCATGCTCACGATTTAATGGAAGGATGGATGATGTTAAGTGCAAGAGCGGTATACATTAGAAATATGGTGCCATTTTATGATATGCTGGTCCGAAGCTGGAGTAAAAGCAGTTGCATCCTACGCAGCGGAATAGTGCCTGCTCTCAAGTATAACTGGCTCGTTGGATGAGTTCCTGTCTTTGTCTGACTGGTATTTCTCCGTTATCACGTCGGTGATATGTGGCATCCAGTCCATCGAGATGATTTTTTTTCTTGAATTATGAGGCGTCTGTTACGTGTTTCAGCCCACGATAAGCGTTGACGGAGCAATAAATCTTTCTATTTTCTCGTAGTTACCCTCCGGGATAGCTTTGAGCGTTCTTCGTAGTACTTGTTTCAAAACAGTGGCACCAACGAATTAATCGCGTTCGTCCGATTTTGCTGTCTTTTGTGACAACATTCGTTTTTANTCCGAAAACGATCGGACGGCATTTTTGGATCCTTTGTATTGCCTGGCGACTTTATGCTGAGCCTCAGTCGGAGCAACGCAAATATTTCGCCCTCCACTATATCTGTTGGTTTCCTTCCATGCACAAATAAAATTCAGTGTGAGTTATGTACGGTTCCAGGTGCACCAATGAAAGGGGATCAGAAACTAGGATGCGTTACTCGCTCAGTAGACATAGATCACACGATTACGCTTCGATTGAATCGTCAGTTGCAAAATCCACACATCGAGCGAATCAGCTTACTTGCAAGCTCAAAGGCCGTTTGATTTTGCGAAAGGGCATCGGCATAAGGGTGCTATACTTTTGTCAACCCCTTTCAACGCATTTTTCTTCAAGTTTTGCATAATGTATAATCCGTTCTGAATTTCTGCATACAGTAGCGTACCATACGTTAGATCTTTCGGGCAAATATGGTTTAACGAAAGAATACAAAAGCGGAAAAAATTCTTGTACAATATAATTCCTATCCGAATAGCAATCTATAGAGCATTGTTTTACATGCTGATGACAAATCACACCGAAGGGCTTATTTGAATCCTGAGCAACTTTCGCAATAATACTTGCTAGGTTGTTGTGGTTTTCGGAAACAACAGAAATACCGGTAAAGTAACTCAATTAGCAATCCGAATCTTGGAGTTTGTCTTTCAAAGCAAGCGAAGAATCTCTCGCGGGACTCATTTCGGGATTGAAGCGAACAAATAGGGTAAAAGTTTTGGCCCTGGAATCAGCGCATAAAATAATCCAATGAAGGATGAGATTTCCGATGCTTCCATATCCCTGAGTAGTAGTTGAGGTAGGGTAGATCAGAATCTAATTTGCGACTGTACAAGATTACCATGCGCCTTATAACTTGCTATACCTGCAAACCAACTAAAGTTGGCAGCACTTCAGTTTTTGGATGTAGCTCTAAAAAACAAAGTAAAGTACACTCAATGCGAATACTGAAAATGGCAATGTTTAGGTGTACGATGTTTAGAAAAGCTATTACAACTATACCTATGCTTACCTTCAGGTGCATGATCTTCGACGGTCACTACGTGCTCACAGGTTTCCTGAACAGCTGTTTTAAGTAAGTCCACATCCATTGGTTTGATTGTGAATGGATCAATAACCCGTACTTGTATATTTTCTGCGGAAAGAAGGTCAGCTGCCTTGAGTGCTTCAAACAATGTAACACCAGCAGCCACAATCGTCAGACGATCTGTCGCTGATCCTGAAGAGCGCACCACCTAAATAATCCATATAAGTTGAATTTGACGTCAGATAAGACAATAAATTGTGTAACAGAATTTTGATGAACGATATTACCGCCGTCAGTCAATGGCAATAAATACTTTCCAGCACTATCCGACGTGTGTTGTATCGCAGCCCTTCGACTGGCCGCTTCCCCTATCCTGAAAATTGTATCATTATATATTCAATAAAAGGAAGCAAAAACGAAAAAGGAAGTATTGATGACAAATGCAAACCCATTCACAATGTCTCATCCTGGAAAATGAAGGAGCATTAAACGGGCGATGCAAATCGTGAAGCTTCCAGCATGAAACCACTGAGCATGTTACTAAATTTAAAATACTACGAGGAACTCACCTTTCCGTGTCCTATAGCGAAGGGTTCATCTGACTTGTAAATAACAGGACAGTTCGGTCTTCCAGTACGGATGAAACAGATACCGAGTGTGTTGGCGGCAAGTTCAACCGCACGCTCAGTCGACACAGCATCGGAAGGGTAGAAAACTGTAGATCCCATTACTGAACGGAACATAGCTAGGTCTTCTAATGCCATCTGACTCGGTCCATCTTCGCCTAAGAAAATAACGGAATATTCAGATTAACTGCGATACAATCTGGAGTCGGATGTGTGTGAAACAAATTTATACAGGCATTAATCGAATTCGTGCATCATGACTCACATTTTGGAAATACATTTCAGTTCCCAGAATCATACGTGTATGTTCAAATTCTTCTCATGTTTTCTGAAAATCTCAGACATGAAGCGTTCAGTTAGACCAAATGTTATTTTTCATCGTCCATTTAGTTCATCATGCAATGACTGCCAGTTGCTACCTGCTTTTATGAGCAGCGAAAGATTAACACAAGGCGACCGGCTTTCCCCACCAGAGACGCACACAAACGATTCAGGACGGGCTTGTGAGATGGGATCACCCATTGCCATTTGAGACAGTTTCGTCGGCTAAAAGAGCAACTGAGCCGCAGTTGAAAATTCTATTCAGTAGTTTGTTTTCGTCTTGGCGAATTACCTGGTCTATAACAGCAACTTAGACACCACATCAACACCTTCACAATCACGACTACAGTTAACCGGAAGCGGGTCTCGTGAATAAGACGAGAAGATTGTGTTATAAAGAGTCGGGAAGCCTGAGTGATTCGCTCTATTGGAGGTTAAACAGGCGTGCTAGCCCTGACTACTTCCTATTGTTTACTGTCTCTGAAACAAATGCGAAATAAGCCGCTTATTTCTGTTGTTATCGTGTCTTATAACCCTATATTTGAGCATTAGCAGGAGGATATACAGTCAATCTCCTGCTACGNCCCCTGAGAAGTCGCATTTTCCAATATCTTCCCACCTTTTCGAAAACCCAAACCAACCGTATGCTTAATAACGTAGTTACCGACTATGCAAATTCGCACCCTTCAATATGTCGCAGTTCCTGATATCTACTCACTTGGTCGTTGACCGATGTTCGGGACGACCATTGACCATTCACCCTGAAATGTCACCTCAACTAATGGCGTTGCACCTAGTGTGACGCGTTCATGGTACTGTTCACTGATTGGATAATCCCTGCGAGGAAGTCACACCGTGTGGGCAATCGGAGACTGTGTAGTGACCATGATTGTACGAAGAAAAGGAGCAATCCACGAGGACGTTTTCCGTTC